TATAATATAATTAATTATGGTATGTTCAAGAGTTGTCAATTTTGACATACAAATATAGCACAATAGGGTTAACACCAATCAAGAACGAAAAACATAAAATTATCATAAATCATAAAAATACCATAGAGTAAGGCAAAGAATCCACCATAGCCTAACTATGCATTTAGCTAGACATAATATAAAAGAAAAATAAAATAACAATAAATCAATCCATAGTAATCGAAAAGTAAACACAAACTAGAGGAATCTCTAATGGAAAAGAGATGAGGCAAGCTGTTGAACTAACGCAATCCCAAAGTTCTTGTAGTTGTCAACAACTGGTCAACACCAAGGTTGAAAGATGTAAAAAGAGATCTATGGTCTAAGAAATATCAAAAGACTAATCAAAAGTGTCCTTAAGTCGTTGCCTTTAGGTTCCTTTAATAGAGTTTGAAAATCCTAAAATTGCTTTAGAGTTGGACTTCTCGTAAATAAGCATGGTTGTGCAAGACCATAAGCATAGTTGTGCATGTGGTCAAAGCACCTTGTGCTAGCTGCTGGAGTATGGGCATGCTAACTACTGCGAAGTCTTATTTTTCAACTAATTTGAGTAAAAAATGCACCAAAAACTCAATTGTGGCCTTCTCATAGTAATTTGCATAATAATTATAGAAATTAGTGTAAAAGCTTGATAAAATAATAGTCACAAATAAATATATAGCCTATAAAAACATGCCAAAATATAGATTTATCAACTCACTCATACTTAATATTTGCCTGCCCTCAAGCAAAGTCTTGGCTAAAACTAACAGAATAACTTGAAACATATCACCACAACAAGGAATCAAAGACAAATGAGATAAAAAGAACAAGAAGAGCAATATTATTAAGCATAAGTAGTTAAAAGTTTTCCTAATTAGAGTCTTATATTCCCTAACTTTTAACTCAAACATCAAATTGGAGTACTCTCTACTTTCCTCTTTCTCCAAGTATCTAGGAACAAAAGGAGATATGACTCAGTTTTTTCAAAGAAAAGTGTACTACCATAGGCTTGACCATAAAATGACACTACGCTAAATAAATTAAATGCAAACAAAATCTTAAGGTCCTTTTCAGGTTGTAATGTGACCAAAGAGTTATAATAATTGAGGTGAGATGAATAAAATAAAAGGATATACAAAAGGATAATAAATTATAAACTCAAAAGGCAAAAAAAATCCAATTGTGGCCTTCTGATAATAATTTGCATGATAATCGTAGAAATTAGTGTAAAAGCTTGATAAAATAATGGTCATAAATTTTCATCTTAGTGTTGAAAAATATTGATTTTTACACTAATCTTAGTAAAAATTTAATTTTTAACACAACCAATTTGTAACACTTACTAAAACAATTATTTACTCAAATAATATTTTTTTGAATTTATTGCAAATTAGTTCTTTATACTTTTAAAATTTTACAGTTTAATCCTTATATTTTAATAAATTACAAAAGGCCCTTTTAACCATATTCTTGACAAATCCTAACTAAGTCACAAATTTTTAGTAGTTTTTCATGCATTTCTTGTTCAATCGGTTCATCCTACTTGTCCTTTACATTCATAATTCTCTTTAGTGAAATATTTCATCATTTTGGTCAAACTTTAAAGTAGTTTGATTCAAATTGAATACTTCATCTTCCAATTTAGCTTGAAATTTCCTTATCAAGTCTGGTTCCTACACAGGCCACACTCTAGGTCATGATCTACTTATTTATTTACTTCAAAATTTAGCTTATTTTAGCCAATAATTTATTTTCATGTTTTCATTCTTTATAAAATTATTTTTCTATGCCCAAAATTGTTAAATTCAGTTCTATGGACCTTATAAAATTTTTGTGATCAATATATACCACTCTCAAATCATTTTGGCTAAAAATTTGATATTAACACCGATAACCAAAATTTCACGGTATAAATTTGCAGTAAATTTTATGATCGTACAAAATAAAAGAAAAAATCCATAAAAATAAGATTCATAGTGTTTTCATAATACTAATAATGGATTCATGGCTAGAATAAATATTAAAGCACAGAAACCAACAAATATAATTTTTCAAGTAACAGAAACAGAATGGAAATAAGAGACAAAAATGTTATTTCAACGTACAATATTAAAAATTCATTTTTATGTGGGAATATAATTTCACTTCAATAATAATTATAGAAAAATGAGAATAAACAATAAGATTTATTCAAATTACAAGTTTGACTTTTTAATCCAAACAATATGAATTACTTAAAACAAAAATTAAATTTATTGAACAATTATATTTTTTATTAGGTTTTGATTTTAAATTTTACATTTATGATTTTTGTTACCTAAATCTTTTACTAGATTAATATAGAAAAAATGTGTCACGAAAATAATGTATCTCTAGGGATTGAGCTTGATGGTTTGAAACTTAGAAAAATAAATTTAGAAATAATATGAATATAAATATAAATTGTTGGACAAGAAAAAGTTAAGTTTGGAATAAATAATGCATTGGAGCAAAGAAAGGAATAACTTATGAAACTAGTTACTACTAGTTAGAACCGTGGAACATTGTCCCCAAAGCTATGAAACTAAGCTTGAAAAAGAAGATACAAGGATAACTTAAAGAAAAATTTATTGTGTGTATAGAAGGGTCTAAGCACATTTACATTACTTGGGGATAATAACCGGAGATACTTAATTCAAGAAGATACACCAAAGTAAACTTAGCTCAGCTAGCATGCAAATATTTAGTAGTGTCCAAGTGACTGGTTCAAACAACGTTGATTTGTAATAAATGGATAGGTAACAACCTTAAATGCATATAATTACAATAAAAGATTTCCCTCCATTAATGCGAAGTTGCGAACATGATAAGGTGGTGTGTAAATCTTGTATCTATTCATCGCTTAATAGACGTCAGATAAGTGGGGATCCTATAAAAATTAATAGATAGAAATATAAATACACAATTTACACATGACATGATCAGTTGATTCAGTTCCCATGGGTCCCCGCTGCCCCGCCTCCTTTTCTAGTGAATTGCTGTTCCCTTGCTCACATGCTAACCCTTTCAATAAGCGATTTTAAAGATCTTCAACCTTGGACAATCGATTCTGCACTTCTTGATGGCCCCTCTGAGTTGCGTGAACTAGAGGACTCCGAGTAGCTGTAGGACACTCCTATCTTCTTTAAGGCATTGGATATAAAGCTGCTTGTGCTATAAGACTTACTGGAGCTGTCTGAGTCAAGCACTCCAGTGTTCAAAAATGGTGGTTGATTTGGTGTAGGAACATCCACATTTGAATTACTTAACATGAAAACAACGTGCGACATGGATGGCCTCAGGGAAGCAGAAGCTTGTGTGCAAAGCAATGCAATCCGAAACACCCTTGATGCCTCAGTTGCAGGAAAATCATCTCCCAAGCAAGAATCCACAGCTTCATTTAATGTGTTTGATCGGTAAAGTTTCCAAACCTGGTGCCAAAAGGATGATTTTCAACTTGGTAATTACAAACATAAGGTGTTGAATCTAGTAGCCTAAAAATTATGAAAATCAGGCTCAAATCTTACAGTTTGTAGTAGCGAGCCAGAGTCCTCTCTGAAGACGTTATTCCTCCTGCCACTTACGATCTCCAGAACAAGTACTCCATAACTATATACATCAGCTTTATCTGTAAGTTGCCCTCGAATTAGGTACTCTGGAGCCATGTAACCTCTGTTTCAGAAATAAAAGATCAAGTAATAAGACTACGAAACATGTATGAGAAATAATTATTACACAAAAGCTTTTGGGTTAAACAGCTCTTTACATCCCATGAGGGCCTTTGTGCTTTTTCTTGATCTTATAGGATTTAAACTGAGGATTACGTACAGAGCCCGCTACTGAAAAATATATGAATCGAACTTATTTTGATTTATTCTTTTACTTAGTTTCATTCTTTTGGATTGATGTTTGAACACTCCTTAAAAAAAACCAGCTCGTTCAGGAACAGACAAAGCTAATTATGAATATATCATGCACAATATCATATGCTAAATCCAAGGACTTACAATGTTCCAGCAATTCCAGTGCTCAAATGGGACTTATCAGCACCAAAACACCTGGCAAGGCCAAAATCTGCAATCTTAGGAGTGAGATTCTCGTCCAGAAGAATATTGCTGCTTTTGATGTCTCTATGGATGATTCTTATTTTAGTGCCTTCATGAAGATATGCAAGCCCTTCAGCTGTTCCAAGAATGATATTAAACCGCTTCTTCCAATTTAGAATCTGAGCTCTGTTCTTTTCTGCAAAGTAGATTAATGTGTCATGTCACCTTCCTGAAACTATAAATAAAAAATAAGCCTTTGATCTATCTTACCCTTCTTTCACGGATCGCATGTTGGCTGTTTGATTTCCTTAAATGAAGGAATTAACGATAAAATGTGCCATAATAAATATAACTTACCAAAGATAAATTGGTCCAAACTCTTTTTGGGTAAGTACTCGTACACAAGGAGGCTCTCAGGGCCTTCAATGCTACAACCCAATAGTTTGACAAGGTTCTTGTGTTCAATTCCGCTAATCAAATTCACTTCATTGAAGAACTCATCCACCCATTGCCTGTTATTGAAGATCAATCTCTTAACGGCAACAACTTTCCCACTTGGAAGAATACCTTTGAAAACAGAACCAGCCCCTCCTTGTCCAATTTTTCTGGAAGAGTTGAAATAATCTGTGGCCTTCTCAAGAGTCTCGTATTTGTAATTCAACCTAGATTTGCTTATGGAAGAGGAAATCGGACCAAGATTTTTGTTTTCTGAGTGAAGCAGGAGAAAAAGAAAAATACAGCATAAGAAATTGAAGACATAATAATAATAATAATAATAATTCACTAATACATCTTATTGGTACACAGTAATAACCATAATTCCATTTCAAAATGCTCACCTCTTTTAATCTTTGACAATCTTGTGAAGGCTGCATAAGAGGCAGAGAGAGCGAGCATTAAAACTGCAGCTGCTGCTAACACTTCAGCTATTATAACTCCTCGTCTTCTAAAGGACCCTGAAAAATTGAAACCCAGGCAATGACATGAACATGTTTTCTTGCTAAGAAAAAACAAAATAGCTGTAAGAAAAACAAAACAGCATTTCTCACTCAGTACTCTTTCCATGAAGAAAGATCCGGAATCAAATTAGACCAAAGTTCAGAAATATAGAAAAATCGAAATTAAAAAAAAATTACCTTTTCCACCACGTGCAGCATCTTCTTCATTATAAAACTTGTGAGTAGAATACCTCAAATAACACCCAGCATTCAAGGCCCTCCCTTCTCTTTTTGGCAAGCACGTTTTCACCTCCTTTGCAGCTTTCCTCAAGCACTCTCTACACCCCTCACTCCCAACAGTGTTCCAGCACTGAGCCAACGCATAAACCCCTTTGACATCCCCAACAGCAAAACCACGAGCTTTAGCCACAGCCAGCGCGGTGACACTATCAACAAGTCTTCCAACACTCATTTGAAGCTCCACCCTCTGAGCTGCATCAGAAACGATGCCGTACTGGGAGGTGCAGTTGACAGTGTCTCTTGAAGGGTCGGTGCTTTCGGAGTAGAAGTTGTAGTTGTCGTAGCGGAGGAAGCAACCGTCGAGGTAGATGCGAGCGGAGACGGAAGGGAGGCAGCGAGGGAGCTTGGTGCGACTTGCGGCGTAGCAGAGGAGGCAATCGGTGTGGGAGAGGTCGTGGAAACATTGGGCTAAGCCGAAGATGGGAATGGCTGAGATGTTGATGAAGTGGGAGCCCCAGTTGTGGTCTGTTACTTGCTGAGAGAGGGTTTCCATTTCCTTGATGAAGCTTGGGATGTAGTTCGCTTTCAGTGGGGCTCTGTTTTTGCCGCAGTAGAGCCCTGCCTCCGAGATTCTTGGATCCGAGAGGCTGTGGGATAGTGTTGAGAGGCAGAGAATGGTGCAGAGAACCCATGATGATGAGTATTTCGACTTCATTTCTCGCTTCCTGTTATGCCGATGAGTTATTATTGCTCCATGTCTCTTCTAACTCTCTTGTGCGTTCGTGTTTGTAAGTGACAGCGTTGAAACAGCAAGTTGTAAAGTTTTTAATATTTTTTTAAATTTGTCGATTATGATTTTCAATGCTTTTAAATTTTTTGTAACTTTTAGTTTTATTTTTTAAAATCTCACCAAAACTTTTCATTCAGGATTTTGAGTTTTTCTTTTATTTTTGCATTTTTTTCAAAATTTGATATTTTAGTATATATTATTTTTAAATATCATATAAAATTAAAGAAATGTTATTATATGCGGCTATTTAATTTCATAATTATGTTTGAAATTATTTTTTAATAATCCAGAAATTTATAATATATATACGATCAACATATTTTAATTAAACTTTTTATAGCCTTTTATTTTTCTATTTTTACCATTTATTTTATCTTACATTATTTTTCATTTTTATTTATTTTAATTATAAATAGTGTCGTGTGAATTTTTTCAAAATATATTAACATAATTTTCTTCTTCGTGTTGCTTGGATTGGTCTTTGCCCGTGGCTATAGAGTAAATCACTAGAACTATGTGTGTAGGTCTAGACTTACTGTTTTAATGATAAATTTAAAAATATAATAAGTTCACAAGGTTTAATATGCAAAAATTTGTATATAATTAAATTTAAAATACATAAAAATTATATATATATATATATATATATATATAATTTTTGCTTAATGATTAAAAAAAATAAGCTCACTTAAATGTACTTTTCTTGAAAAATTCATGAGTTGTTAATGTGTTTTTAGGATTTGGATTTTAGAAATAAAAACTCAAATTGTTTAAACGAAGAAAACAAACTTGTTATACTTTATTTATGATATGTTATCTTACTCTAAAGACACCTGTCTTAGTATCAAGAGACAAATTTGTATAACTTGACAGATACAAAATGTTGTCTTAATCTTCTTAGACTAATAACTCCTTAGGGTTGAAAAGAAAGAATGAAATTTTTCATACGTTAATTTTAAAAAAATTAAATTAAAAGAATTTAAAAAGTATATGTGAGAAAATTTTAAAGTATTTTTAGATTTTTTAATTCCTTTTTAAATTTTTAATGACTTCAAATAGTGGTAATTTTTAATAATTTTCCATTTTTTCTTCTCTAAATTAAATTCTCAAATGCAACCTTTAAAACAGAAACCTTTTTTAAGCAGTGCATCAATATCAATATTTACCGCAACTGTATAAAACATGTCATTCTTTTTTATTCTTGTCAAATTGCACAATTCCTTTTGAGATACAGCAGAAGTGCAATCTTTTGAATAAGAAACTAGCAAGGAAGAACAAACTCCTAATGGTAAGTGACATATAAAATTTGAAATTCATTTAAAATATGATATATATTTACATAATTTTTTTAACATGTATAAGAGAAATATTGTTGGGGGTTGTACTAGATTTTTTACCACAAAATTTTAGATAAGCTAAGTTACGTGAAGTTGTTTCTATAAGCAATGGCACTTTAATTAAGTTCATGCTATTTTATGATATTTAATTATTTTTAATAGTTAATGTTAATTCAGACATTGAAGTTACGGTTGTAAGAATAAAGATAACTTAACGGTGCATATTAAAAGTACTAAATATATTTTATTAAATACTTTAAATTATCAAAAAAATATATACATATTTAATGCTTTTATAATTTTGAAATAACAAACATTTTTATTTTTAATAAAAAATGTTATTTTAATTTTTTTTAACATGTGTTATGAAGTATGTATTAAAAAAAGTAATCATTGTATCGTTTTTAAGTTAATATTTCTTTAATTTTTGTTGTGATTAATATTCTTGTAATTTTAATCATTATTTTATTGACACTCAAGTCAAGTTGAATTAAATTTATTTTTTTTATTAAAAATATAATTATTTTTTATTATTTTCAATATATTTTAATATTACTTTTAATGAAAAATATTTTTTATTTTGTATTATGAAATTAATGATTAGTAATTTATTATTTTTTAATATTAAATTTTAAGATTAAATTTAAATATATAATAAAAATATATTTTATTAAAAAAATAAAATATTTATTATATTTTATATTTTTAAAAAAATTACATTTGATCTAAATTTTTATTTAACTTAAATATAATAATTTATAATTTATTATTTTATTAATTATTAAATATAAATTAAATAAAAAATTTAGATAAGTGTTAGATTTATATTAATATAAAAAATTTATATATATATATATATATATATATATATATATATATATATATATACACGTGCCTTTAAATTGCAGTAGAAGTTTGAGGATTTGAAAATGCGTCACAAAAGTGGGTCCAAAGGTTATTAGGGCTGTATTAATGCGTCGGTGGGGTAACTGCCACGTGTAGTGTGTGGATTTGAGGCTTGAGCTTAGGTAACCTACCATGTGTGATCGCAGACATTTGACGAATTGGACGAAGCCATTTCCCACTTCAATGTTTGCCTGCTCACCGGCTCTTCCGGGGTTTAAATGATCTGGGGTATATCAAGATTTATTTCTCGATTTGACCTTTTCTTTACTATAATTAATTTTTTATGATTGCTTTTGTTTTTTTAAAAAAATTTATATAATTACAAATTTTATTTAATAAAAACCTTTTGAACTAAGAAAATATTTAATAAATTTAAATATACATTATCAAATTTGATTCCTTAAATAAATTAGCATATTTATAATATCAAACATTACACTAAAAAAATTATTAATATTAATTATATTTACTTATTTAAATAAATTATCTTTCTAAGTTTAATATTTTTAATGGATCAAATTAAACCTTTTAATTAAATTGGTTTCCTTAATATAACTTGACTTATTTGATAAATAATTTTTCCTTCGCCGTTCAATGTGAGTTTTATAATCTTTCAACGAATTTTTTATTCTATTTTAGCTCATGTTGATTGTGTATAACTTTTCAATTCACTGTATAATGAACTAATTATATAATTTATTTTAAAAGAGCGATATCAACATTCCTGAATGTTAGGTATAATACTAAATTTTCCAGTTCATTACTGCTATTTTCGAAAAAGCCATTCATGCCCAACATACATCATAACTAGTGTACACCCAATTTTTCACACTGCTATTTCTTTTTACTTGGAAGTTATTAATGGCAACTTTATGAATTAATTCATGCTTCAAGTCAAAATAATAATTTGTGTAGCACTATTCATGCTCTGTACTGTTGACCATCTCAAAAAGTTAAAGACAGCAACAATGCAGCAGATACAAGAAAAAATATGCAAAAGAAGTCAGAAACCTTTTTCACATGAGGAGAGGCTATGGCCGAAGTTCTTTTTCAAAATGGTAATTGGATGTTGTGTGTACTTTAGCCCGACAGTATATTCTAGAATGCTAGACATTCCAATTTTCATAATTTGAATTCTTGTTAAAAGGCAAATGATGTCCTACCATGTTTTCAGGACATTTTCACGTCTCAGCAAAAAGAAAATCAAGCATCACTGCCACGCTTTATCCATTTTCTCAATGTACCATGGTTATTATAATTGCATAGTTCTTTACGACGAGGTAAACAATGCCTCATGTCAAATTACATATGACAAACATAATAAATAAACACATACGAAGTTAACCAAAGGGGAACAGAGTAGAGAATTACACGCCGATGTCCGATAAATTAGATATATTTGAATGTCGTGGTTGCCAACTAGAGCCCACATGAGGCGACAATACCAGAGAAACCATCAATAAATTGAGGTCTGGAAGGTAATGTCATTACAGCATCGTTTTGTTTAAGCATTTTTATCACCTCTGTTATCTTAAGACCAAAGTAAACTCTTGTACGGGCAAAAGCCAACTTGGATACCTGTTTTCGTTTCTTCAACATCTTTAGCCTCCAAGCTTTCGTCAATAATTTTTGGAGTGGTGTTTGATTGGAAATGCTTCGTAGGCTAAGGATAACAGCCAAATAAAAATTAAAAAAGAAAACCTGCTTGGTTTTGGTGAAGCACCCATAAATATAAGCCCTGTAACTTGCTGCACATTCTGAAATGTGTAGAAGGCACGTGAAATATAGGATAATTAATTTGAACACCGGATTTAAGGTGATGAATTACTAAAATATATTTTTTTTTATAAATTTTATAAATATAGTGATTCAAATCTTGCTATTGGCAAGATTGTATGAACAAAATGCTAAAAGCTTGTAAAGAATGTGGTTTTCGTGAACCATGTTCCTGCAAAGATCTCTTCAACTTGGTGTGTACACGAACAGTGTTCTTAAGATTTCATGGGAAAGAATTTCTGAAAATTAATTCTATCATGAACAGTGTTAACAAATTTAATGTTTTTCAGTGTTTAAAAACTCACTAATGATGAGATCTAATGCTACATAAAGGTCAGTTTAAATAAAAAACTAATAAAAACATTGTAACGCTGAAAAATTTGAGGGTTAGTTAAAAAATAAGGATACCCAAATAGAAAAGAGAGTATTAAAGGAGAAGAAGAGTAGCAAAGGAGAAAAATTATTTAAAAAAAAAAAGTTAGAAAAACTAGTTAAATTAAAATTAGAATATTTTGAGTGTATATTTCAATTAGAAAAAGGAAGAGGAAAAAAACGGTTCGCAATTCCCCCATAAATTCGAAAGGCATTTCTCAAAAAAATTATAATTAAAATGTAAATAATTATATCATTAAAATTTTTTATGTAATTATTTTTATAATAAAATATCTATAAATTATGTATTTAAATTAAAATTAAAATTATATTTATTTGAGTTTTATTTAATTTTTGATAACCAAAGTTTAAAGTGTTGATTATAAATTTAATAAATTTAAATTTATAGAAAATATACACTTAAAAGTATCTAATAAAAAATGTATTTTTTAACTAATTAGAACATTCATTAACATTTTCTCTTTCACTTTATATAAAATTTGTTTAACGTCGTGTATATTAACAATCTTCCGTTGGAATAACAATTTTTATTTGTAAATTTTTTGTTTTAAAAAATTGTTAACATATATTATAATTTTATATCAATAATAAAAT